TAATTATGTATTTTTGGGTAATTATTTCTCAGAACTTTTTTATTTTAAGTTTTAAGTTTTATTTTATTATTTATCAGGAAAAAACATATCTATATGTATATTATGGGTGTGTTTTTGAAGAAATAAAGTAAACTTAAAGTATCTCAGCCACAGAATGGAACACAATTTCAAAACTACAGGCATCATACTTGCAAGGCTTGCAATGCAAGCACACACGACAAGTATATATTATAGCTATTTTTCCTGTATATAAATAAATACTAATCTATCGGAATCATCAAGAGTGTTATAGGTAATTGTTTGCTTCTTATTTTCGGATCTATTACTAACAGAACTATGGTTGCCGTTATACTCTGATTGTAGTTTTTTTACTTTTATTTTGCGCTCCGTATTACTGTATTCCCTTTTCCTTTTCTGTATTTTCTTTCTAAATCTTCTCAATATACTTTTCCAATTTCTTTTAATTTCCAAAAAACACTAAAAGTCGTTTTCTGTTTTTTGTTGTTGGATTTAGTTTCTGTTCCTGAAAAGATACCAGTTAAATTCCAGTAAAAACTTACTTTCCTACAAAAATTAACTGTCAAATTTTTTTCGTACTGATTTTTATACCCTGCACTTCGTGAAGGTATATTAACTTTGGTATGGAGTTTGTAACTACTTGAAGGAGTCATCTGCGGTATGGACATAAATATATATATTCTTGCTCAGCATAAAATTCTGCGTCGATTTAACATGTCCGTCCGTCCGATCGCACGATAACTCAAAAACGAATAATGCAATCGACACCAAACTTCAACAAGTTTTTTTTTTGTGCCAAGGACGAACCCTATTGTTATTGGACCAATTCGGACAACGGGTTCGGGTAGCTGCCATACAACTCAAAGAGTGTATTTTACATACATCAAAAACTAATAAAGGTACATATATAAAATTTTGTATACCTCCAATTATATTCTACATATGCTCTAAAAATTTTAATGGGATAGCTGCACCGTTTCGGGTGGCTGCCATACAACTCCAAAAGCAAATATTTTATATTCGCAAAACAATAAAGTCAGATTCATGAAACTTAGCAGTCATGTGTCCAATTATAGGTCAGATATATTTCTGAAGTTTTAGTGAAATTGCTTGACAGGTTCGGGTACCTGCCATACAACTCCAGAAGCAAATTTTAAATATTTGGGAAAATAGTCAAGTTAGATTCATGAACCTTGGCAGTCGTGTGTCCAATTATAGGTCAAATATTTTTCTGAAGTTTTGGTGGAATTGCTTGACAGGTTCGAGTAGCTCCCATACAAGTTCAAAAGCTAATTTTAAATATTTAGAAAAATAATAAAGTCAGATTCATGAAACAAGTGTCCAGTTATAGGTCAGACATATCCGTGAAGCTATAGAAACTTCAAAATGGTTTCATAGGTTATAGAATGGTTTCACAGGTTTGAGTAATTGCTGTACAACAACGAAAGATGCAGAGTATAGTTCAATCGGTTTATACCGACTGAAACGTTTTTACTTGTTTGAATTGAACTTAGGATTTCCTTGAATTTCCTTGAATTGAACTTAGGATTTTATTTTATTGACGATGCTGATATTGAATGGGAGTATCTTATTCAACCAGGCGAAAAGGTAATATCAGATGAATGGAAAGCGGACATAGTAATTTTTTTAAGTAAAAATTTTTGAATTATAAAATGGGGAAGGTGAAAAATCATTTCCCAAATTAAAAAAATTTTGTGCAGTGGTTTGAGTTTCTCACACAGTTCTGCAGCAGTTTCTACATCTTTTCTAATTTATTATAATAAAATCAAAGTTGTGGGAATAGAACAGTGGAAAATTTAAGTGTAATTCCTAATGAAAAAAGTCTTTAGGAAATAATGAAACATGGAACTGGGAAACTACTAAAAAGTAAATCAAAACTTATGTCAATAACAAATAAGAATACTGGTTTTAAATACAATCTATGTGTACCTACCACACTATTAGAATTATTTTCATTCATGTACGCAACTTTTACTAGGATTGAATATGTATAGAATGAACGATTTATGTAGTCTTTGAGATAAAGCAAAAATAAATTTAGAGAGGGCTTAACATAATTGAGGGTTAATTGAGCGAGTTACAAAAATAATTATATTGTTTTAACGTCATGGAGTTTACTGTTAGCTTGTTGCGTTTATAGAAATTTGAAAAAGCTTGCAGTTTGTGAAATATAACCTTCCTATATTCAAGGGTGTAGAAGTTTTGTAAACATTGTCACGGAAGGACGGACGGACGGGCAGAGTGAAACTAATAAGCACTTTTTTTCAAAAATTTTTTGGAGAAGTGCTAAAAAAGGAACGAAAAACTAATTGGAATGATTGCAAAATTAGGTTTAAGCGTGGATCATCAAAATTAAAAATTTTGTACTAAAAAATTACAGATCATCAAAAAACCAAATGACTTTAACCAGGGAAGTGAGTTTTTTGAAAGTAAGTAGTATTTTAGATTAAGATAATGTTTATTGTAGAGAACATTGTAGAATTTGTAGCAGTTAAAGGAAATGGTCGGGTAATGAGGGATATATTTTACGGAATGATAGTGCAAAGAATTAAACAATTAGTTTCAGGTTCGTTAGCATATGTTATTATGAACAAATGTAATTTGCAAGAAATTAGGCAAATAATAAACGGGTTTCGACAACAATAACCTTAATTTATCAAACAAAATCAATTTAAATAATTATAACAAAAACAATAGAAATTTTAACAATAGAAATGGATATTTTAAAAATAATTTCAACTATAATAATTACAATAATAATTATAATAATCAAAATAGTTCGTCTGAAAGAAATAATAGTTCTAATAGATTTAATAACAATTGTAAAAATAAAAGCTATAGTGATAATAGCAGTAACGGCTGTTATAATAACAACAGATTATAATAACAATAATAATAGATAAAACAGTTATGGCTATTTTGTTAAATTCGAAATAGACACAATATAATGCAAGTCAATGTCGTCAACAAAGATCTTACTTAGGTAGACGGGTCGAACCAATGTAGGTCGGCAATATGTGTGAGGTATAATAGCAGTGATGAAGTTAATAATTCCAAGTTTTTTATGAAGTAGCCTCAAATGATCTACCACTTTTAAAACTAACTATAAAAAGTAAAATCTTCTTAGCCCTTGTAAATACAGGAGCTTGTTTTAGTATTATTGATAGTAAAGTAATGAGTTTTAAAAAAATAAGAATAAAGCTACTTTACTTCTCTATAATTAATGGCAAAGATGGAATTAATGAAGAAGTTTATACCCCGCCTCCAAAAGAATTAAAAGTCCCAACTGGTGCTTAAATACGAACGAAGGTAAAGGAATTTTCAAATAGAAAATATCAATTTATAATAGATTTAGATTTACTAATCAACTTGTGTTATAGATTTTGTAAAAATGAATTTAAATTTGAATGAGCAATGTATAGTTTTGCAAATACGCCGTATTTATTCGACGAAATTTATATTCTGGAAACAGTGCATCCTAAATTTAACTTATTAAAAACATATCATTTGAGCTCAGAGAAACTAGGAGAAGTAAAAAATTATTTAATAAATGAATATCATGGAAAATCAATATCAAAGATCCCAACTACGTAGCTGCGTTCGAAAAACTCAAAAATATTATAATTTCGCGTTCAGTTTTACGATATCCAAATTCTGAAAAACCTTTTAAGAAGAGATGTTTCCAACTACGCTGTTGGATCGTTCCCTCTCAAGAAGGTCACCCTGTATGCATTGCATCTAGAACTCTTAGTAATCACTAGAGAAATTATTCAGTAACAGTTAAGGAATTTTGAGCCATAGTATGGTCTGTTAACTATTTTAGAACATATTTTTATTTGAAAAGATTTAAAATCTGCACAAAACTTCAGCTTAATTTTTACAGTCCCTGAATGGACCAGCAAAGTTATATGTAGATTTGGAGGCAAAACTGCTTTAATATATTATACACTAAAGCAATCATTTCTTGAGGTTTTTCGCCCATGTTATTAACGGCATAACGATACACTCAGTATCAAAATGATTTTACATGGCGCGCAAACTTATACCGAACTAAAGGAGAAGCTAAATACATATCAAAAAATCAAAAATAATGTTTGCAAGCAAAGCAATTTTAAATACGTCCGACAAATTATTGTATACGCAATACGGTCGGTAAAAAGATAAAAGTTAATAGTCTTAAAAAAAGATAAAAATTTTCAATAAAAAAAATCAAGTGACCAGTATAATAAAAATGGTAAAATGTGTGTAATTAAACAAAAAAATAGAAAAAGAACAATAAAAATAATCTGATGTGGTCAGCACAGAACCGACCGCAATGTGTATTGTCTAGTTAAGTGAATGTGTTATAGAATATTATCAAAATGCATGTTAAATAATTTTTTCCAATTTTTAGGACATTAATAAGCTTATAGTTAACATACCTAGAAAAATTTATATTTGGCTCTTAGTAGAGTTTCGCTTTGTGCTACCCGACTTCACTGAAATGCTCGCCAGTTAGTTTCGGTAACAACCAGAACTCAAATCAAATTTCAAGAAATTTCGTCGATTCGTTCAGTAGATATGGCGAAAAATGTAAAATCGGCCCGCAAATCAGTTTTCGAGCCCTGATCTTTCCAAAAAATTTATTTGTTCTTTGTTTTAGTACAAAGAATTAAAATATTAAATTTCAATGAAATCGGTCAATTATTTCTCTTTATATACGCACAAATGTATAAGATAACTCCTACCCTTTGGAGTTAGAAAGTTTTATTCAAAAAAAACAATCTTAATAAAAAAACCGTTATTTTATTTTAATAAAATTTTTAATAAAAAACTCTTTATTTTATTTTTACGTGTTTTTTATTCTAAGTTCAGAATAGTAGTAAAATAATAAAATACAATTTTATAAAAAGTGTTTTTATTCTACCCGCATAACACGCGCTTCATTCATGATGTTGAAATATGCTGATGATGCGTTTTCAGTTAGTTGAGTTAATTTCAGCATAAAAAATGTTGCAATAAAGAATGTGAGAAATAAAATGAAATAAATGTTGAATTAGCTAAAATTGGACGGCGCGTGTAGCTAATCGTTGAGAAAGAAACTATAGGGTGTTAACTCCTCCCCGCTTAAAAATTGATTGTCCCCAATCAATCGGTGTTACAATTTGATGGTGCGATAAAAATTTCTCTGGGTAGGTTTTGGTGTTTTACTATGAGGTGTTTTACAGGGTGTTGATGTTGTGTTAGTAGTTGTCTTCAGTGGTGCCGTATTTTCTGTTGTAGTAGGGGATGGTCTGCTAATTTCTGGATTGTTCTTGATTACTATGGTTCCGGTTTTTCTCGAAATTTTTATGATGAATACTATGATAATAAACGTGATGACAATTGTAGCTGGGCCAAAACTAATAAGTGTTAACGTGGGTCCAGAAAAATTTCTTTGTTTCAGTAAATCAATTTGCCTGGTATTGTTAATGTGGATTGTTTTTAAATACTCCAATGATAGGTGTTCCTGAAATTGTTTAATGATATGCTGTGGTTGTAATATTGCCGGAAGTACTTGCACTGTTGATAGCTCCTTGGAAGTAAATTTTTCTCCATCTATTATTATTGAGGAACCATGGAATTTGATAACATATGTCCCATTGGTGTTGAGCTGCTCGTTATCGATGGTGATATTACCAGCATGCTGATTGAGGAGGATTACTCCGTTTGTTAGTTGTTCTACTGTTGGAATGTGATAACTGCTCGTCATGTTGCATGTTGAATTCTTTCCTCTTAGAAGGTTTGGTATGCAGGTAGAATTTTTTAAACTAATAATATTATCATTTTTACATATTGTTATATTTCCAATTATTTTACATTCTTTTATAATTTTGTACAAATCATCCTTTCCGTATAATATTTCCTTATATTCTAATTTTATTACAATATTATTTGTTTTGATAGGTTTTATCAACAATTTTTCGAATACATTATTTTTGGTTAAAGGTATTTCAATTAAATAAAATAAGCAAGTGTCGTTAGTGATTATTTTTATATTTGAAAAGTTTAGAGCTTCTTCAGCATTTGAATAGGGAAAATTTTCCTTGTCAAGAATTTTTGTTAAAACCTCTATCTCATATTTTGATAGTAAAACAGAGTTTATTATGCCTGATTTTGCCCAGTGGACTGCGTAGTTCAAGTTGACTACTTCTTCCTTGAGGAGCTTGAGTTTATATTGGATTTGGGTAGCAGAGCTATTGCTAAAGTCATGGCCTAATCGAATTTTTCTTAGAATTTCGTTTGTTATTTCGGTTATATTATTTATTCTGTCACTGAAGATTTGGTTGATTACTGTCTGTCTATTGTTATTTTCCAACATGTTGTTCATTTTTCGCTTAATCATCAGGAAGTCGCTGTGATCTGGTGTTCCCGCAATCCATTTCCATGCTGTTCCTAGACTATCAATTGCTCGTTTTTTCCTCTGTGTTGTTAGTTGGTCTAATAGATTTTGAATTTGTTGAGCCTCAAATTGGAGATAAGGATACAGTGGATGGGCCCTTGTGCTGCTCTCTTCTAGAATAGTTTCGATTTTCTCCAGAGCATTCCTCAGAACATTTAAGTTGGTTACATGAATCAACCTGAAGTTTCCTTCCTGGATTTTTGCTTTACCTAAGTTGACTGCAACAATCTGTGATCCTGTGTAGTCTAGTATTTGAACTTCTGCCAATGCTCCACAAAGTGAAATCCTAAAAGATAAATATAAAAAGAAAAAGAAGTAGGAATCTGGTAAAATGAGTTTGTTAAGATCTAATGTTAGCTTTGTGCACTACTCTGCCTGATTTAGTTAAAATTGTGGTATCTCTATTTGTCGCTACGATTTCCTTCTTATAGCGAAAGGTCAGTTTTGTTCCCAGTCCTTTATTATGCTTTACATAGACTGCCTGTCCGATTTCGTATTGTTTAATAGGTTTTTTACTTTTATTATGAAATTTAATGTCCTGTGCTTGTTTGTACTTCAGTTTTTCTATATTATTCAAACGCGTTTTTTCGAACTCTGTAGTAAAACCACTACCGAAGAATCAATTCGGAACAATTTTTCTGAATATGGTACAATTGAAGACATCTGGATTGTGAAAAATAAACAATCAGGAGAAAATAAGGGAGTTGCTTATGTCAAATTTTCAAAGACAAGCGAAGCCGCTGCTGCCCAAGACGAGTTAAATGGAAAAACAATTGATAATGAAGAACGTCCAATAAAAGTATTAGTAGCGTCAAATCGAGAGTCAGGTTCAGGAAGATCAGAAAATGAAGAAGAGAGATACTTGCGTTTGTTTATTGTAGTAAACAAACCAATGACAAAAGAAGAGATACAAAGTGAGTTTGAAGAATATGGTGATATAGAGTTCGTTACCTTCGTTAAGGATAAAGTAACAAGAGAATCGAAGGGTTTTGCATACGTAAAATATAAAAATTTTACTGGAGCTGCAAAAGCCTATGAAAATTGTCCCCAAAAGTATAAAGCAGTTTTTGCTACACCCAGATCAAATGATTCATATGAAGATCGCAGAGCGCGACCGCTTAAAAGACCTGGAAGAGGAATGGATGTAATTTTTGTTGGACCCAGTATCGATTAGGAATTTAACAGTTTCCCCGTTCCGCAATGGATGTTCGATGTATGGGATCGAGGAAAACCCTAGTCTAAAAAATTGTCTTTGTCTTTGTCTTTGCACGAACAAGTGCATCTTGGACTGGCCTGTGGGTTTTTGGTTTCAGTTTGGTTTATCTTTTGGATTTTATTATTCCGATTATTTTGATAGGAAGCATTCCCTTTGAAGGGGTTGTTAGGCCTATTTTGATTTTGATATTTATACCGAGATTGATTCGATTGATGTGAGCTCGGTGGCCCTATCTTTGGCAGAGTTGTAGTAAATGTGTTAGATGGTCTCATGCCATTATGTTGGTTTCTATATGAGCTATTTCTCCACCGGCTCGAATAATTATTATTGTGTTGGTATGACTGGTTCCGCGCGTTCGGATTGAATCTAGATTTGTTTGGGGGCAGGTGGTTTCGCTTAGGAGGACTTGATTGTATTTGATTATTACTTGTTTGCCCTGAGCTATTATTGACGTTGTGAATCTTCAGACAGAGATGCAAGGCCTGTGGTAAATCTTGTGGCTCTCGCATGCTCAGAAGCCTTGGCAAATCCCCATTCAAACCACGAATAAAGGTGTTCAGTGCCTTGTTTCTATACATTTTAGTTATTGCTGATCGCGCATCTGTAGTTAAAGGCATGGAGGATAACTTTTCTATCATAAGAGAGAGATGTTGATAGATTTCTTTGTAAAAGTCTTCAATTCTCGCCCCCCTTTGTTTTTTTCTTCCCAATTCATCTTCTAAAGTATCCACGTCTCTTTGGTCAGCGTAATGCATGTTTAAACACTTGACCATTCTACTCCAATTTAGGGGTGTATTATATGACTCTAAGGCCATATCAGCGCTTCCTGTTATCTTACTACGAATGGTATGGAGGATTCCAAGATACTTAGAGGTGCCTCTTAAATTGTCGTAAATTCCAAGTACTCTTTCGACGCTCTTTCTCCAAGAGCCATATTCACCAGGTTCACCTGAAAATTCCCTTATTCCCTTGACTATGTCGGGTATTCGGTTCATACCTTCCAAGTCTCCGTTCGTTTGACAAATGTCATCATTGTCGTCGCCCTCGTCATATTCGTCGTCCCCATTGATCGTCCCAACCCTGTCCATTAACTTTCTGGTCTCATATTGGATCATTTCCCTAATTGCATTTCGAAGAGACTCACTATTTTCAAATAAGTCGTCCTTTGAGATTGGACTTGCCTCTTCGGCGTCCATCTCGGGGATCTCTGGGGTTGAAATTCTGCAAGGAGATCTAGAAAATCTTACAGAGGGTGGAGCACTCATTTTTAGGGATGAGAATTAATTAAAAATTTGTAAACACGAATTAAGTTCAATTTAAGTCAGTTAAGATGGTAAGGAAAATTTTCCGTATTTAATTTTAATAACTTAATTGTTTATTCAAAACTTGCTTATTTCGTTTAATTTTGATAGTAAGTAATAAAAATGATAATCCTGTGAAATTAGAAATTTATTTATTAAAATTTTATTTTCTTTGATAGTAAAACAATAAAAATTATTATCCTGTGAAATTAGAAATTTATTTATTGAAATTTTATTTTCTTGAGTAATATTTTTTTTCAAAAAATTATTTCCTAAAATAATAAGGATGATTTGTGGTTTCAATGATAAAAATTTTATTATTATTTTGAAATCTCCAGTTTTCTATTTCTAGTTGTTTAATTTGATTTTTAATTTTTACTAAATTTAATCGGAATCGGAAAGTTTTAATTTTTACTAAGCATCGGAATCTTTATGTTTGTTTTAATCTTTTATTCTTTATACAGTTTTTGTTTTAGTTATATTTTTATTATTATTTTTTTTTTTTTATTTACATAAATATTAAATGCTATTACTATTTAATGATTAAAACGCTGAGAAAAATTGGAAATTTCAAATGAATTACACAGAAAAATTTTTGGGAAGGAAAAAAAATCGATTTATTTATTTTTTATCTTTAATTTTTTGTTTAAATCTTAATTACCATTTAATTAAAAGGAAATCTAATTTAAAATTATTTAACCTTTATTATAATTTTTCCTTTTTCACAAAAATTGTAACAATTATTATAATCTATTTAATATTTAATGCTTTAATTCTTTATTATTATTTTAAGACAAGAATACAGAAGATTTCTTCAATATTTTTGTGGATATTGTGTAAGGGATATAAATTATCAAATATTTAATCCTTCTTTTTTTGTTTTTAAAAATTTAATTTGCGTTTCATTAGTACTATTAGTAGTTGATTTTTAGGTTAGTTAATTTAGTAAAATTAGTGAATTAAATTGTTAGTAGAGCAATTTTAATATAATTTTTATTTATAGAGTTTAAAAGTTCATAAGCACTAATATTAAACTAGGCACTATAATTTCTATTCTACAGTTAATAAGCTAGAGCGTATGTTTAAAGATTAATGAGCACTATTATTACTTTGAATTAGGTTAAGCATTAAATTTTCTATTTTTTTTGTTGTAATTTTCTACGGTTATTTCTACTATATTTTAATTTCTACAGCTGATCAGCGCAATTGATTTGTCTTAAGATCTTTTATTTTTATGTAATTGCAGTAATTTGTAAAAAAAACTCTCTCTTTTCTCCCTACAGATGGGGATACTTGTTTACGAGAGTAGGATCCTTATAATTTTATATCAATAATTTTTATTCAAAATCTTTGTACTTTTATTTTCTTTAACTTTCTTTATGTTTGCAATAACAAGTTTCTTTGTAATTATTTATTTAGCTTGTATGATATTTAAGTGAAAATTTTTCGAAATACAGGTCTCCTTTTCTCCTTTTATTTAAGGATACTTGTTGACGTTAACTCTGTATTTATTTATTATTTTTTTATTATTTATTTTTTTTTTTTTTTTTTTTTATTTTTTATAGACTGTTTAATTTTTATTTGACTTATGATTTCTTTTTCTCTTTTCAGGTAAGCAACACTTGTATAATAAAAAGGAAAATTGTTAACTTACACCATGAAAACCAGTTGGATTGCCATCTGATTAGGTTCCACCTGCAGTCTTTTGCTACAACGAGTGGGCCGCTGTTAACTGACACTTTGTAGAGTCAGGCTCTAAATACCGCTCACCCAGACTCAAGCGAGCTTTAAGTATTGGTAGTCTTTCACAGTATTTTTTGCCTGCTCCGTGCAGCAACTCCGTTTTATCTATTTTTAGATTACTCCGGGGCACCTTTTCCCACTCTATTGTTGTAGCAAATTCGGCTTTTCGCCTACTTGCTGCGCGTTATGCAGAGGGGAATTCTTCTAGCACTGCTGGAAATTAATTGTATTTACTGTTTATTGAATCTTAAATTTAATTTAATCAAAAAAAAAAAATGTTTTATTATCTTTAATTTGTCTCAAGATTTTGTTAATTTTATTTTTTGAACTCTTAAAATTTATCTCTTAAAAAAAAATTTTTTTGAACTTAAAGTTTCCTTTATTTATTTCAATACTTCACAAGTTTTTATCTTTTTTTTTTTATTTTTTGTTCCAATACTTCACAAGTTTTTACTTTTTATTACTTCTGTTTTTGTATTATTTTTTTCCAGGTTTTTCTATATTTTTTTATCTTTTATTTTTTTCAGTGCTATTCATTCACAACTCTCATAACTTGGGTGGTCCCTGCTCGGGCGCCAGATAACTCCTACCCTTTGGAGTTAGAAAGTTTTATTCAAAAAAAACAATCTTAATAAAAAAACCGTTATTTTATTTTAATAAAATTTTTAATAAAAAACTCTTTATTTTATTTTTACGTGTTTTTTATTCTAAGTTCAGAATAGTAGTAAAATAATAAAATACAATTTTATAAAAAGTGTTTTTATTCTACCCGCATAACACGCGCTTCATTCATGATGTTGAAATATGCTGATGATGCGTTTTCAGTTAGTTGAGTTAATTTCAGCATAAAAAATGTTGCAATAAAGAATGTGAGAAATAAAATGAAATAAATGTTGAATTAGCTAAAATTGGACGGCGCGTGTAGCTAATCGTTGAGAAAGAAACTATAGGGTGTTAACTTATATATGGCCCGTAGTAAGCGTCCAGTTGCTGACGGCTGATTTTTTCCAAAAGTTGCCAGGTTCCGCGGACGGTCGAGCTGAGCTTATATATGAAATTTCAAGTAAATCGGTTTAATATTTTCTTCACAATATTCAAAAATGTAAAACAGGCCCGCAAAAAAGTGAAGTTCCCGAAGCCTGATAAATACCAAAAATTCATCAATCCGTGCTATGGTGGAAATAAACTTACACATAAAATTTCGTCAAAATCGGTTCAATAAAACTTCAGATACACGTGTGCACACACAGACCGACAGACCGACAGGTTGCTAAAAATAGTTTATTTACAATTCTCTACTATGGAGAAGTGCGTTCCCACCGAAAACTCGATATGCAAAATTTGTTGCCATCACATAACCTTCCTATTGTTTACACAATACGGTCGGTAAAAAGAATATAGAAAAGAAAAAACCAAAAGTTCGAAAATAAAATACAATAATACAAAACTAAAAAGTAATAATAAACATTCCAAGCGTGATAAAAAACAAGTAAAGAATTTAAAATTTTTGCTTAATTTGGTTTAATATTTGTTTAAATGTTGTGTAGATGTGTGTCGCTGTCAAATATGTAATAGTCAGATGCTTCTTGAGTTCATGTATATTCAGACTGTAAATTTTTTCAATACTCCCCGGCGGGTGGGGGTGTGAAATACCCGCAGTAGGAATGCTTGTGGTAAAAGTTCACTAAAATCCAGTACAAATCCAGAAGCATCTGATCCAGAAAGGACGGCTGTCTGGTCTGGTCTATTTATTAGGCTAGGAGAAGTGAACTCCGAAATAAAACAAAATCAATGTAATGAACAAAACAAAAGGATTTTATACCCCTGGTGGTAATCCAGTAAATCTGGAAAATCCACACACTCTTGGTCTCACGGAGGCTGGTATCACGGATTCTGGGGCAGACCACTTATTGC